CCCCCCCCGCACACACACACACACAATATTCCAATATTAACCACATCTTCCAAGCAAATAAATTATATCTATCTTCTATTATCGTATTGTGCTTTGGTCACGTTGACCCCAACGTCCACAAAAATCGCATCTGCAGAGTCGGGTTGAAGATACGCCATGAAGCACGTGTCTTCGATTCTATTTCATGGCGATAACCACAACTCTTGTGTTAGGTTTACAAAGCAAAGGAACTTGTTTCATTTTTTTTTTTTTTTAATTATAAATTGTTAAAATTGTTAAACGCGAATTTTTTTTGTGTTCGATTACAATTTTAAAAAAAAATATATACACGCACTACATTCCGAAACATTATCTTAAACCCGACTACTAAGATCCAGTCCATGGGATCTCAAAAGATTAATTACCGTCATCTGATCACCCGTGATGCCATTCCAATTGGTCCAGATGTTTTGAAAACAACCGGAAATGCAAAGGAAGGAATTCTGGGGGTGTTTACCGCACGCATGAGGTCTCCTGATAAGGGATGATTGCCCGCGGCAATAACACGGGCAATGATGGGGCAAAGTAATGCTCTCCCCGATAGATAGCAGCGTGCCGCTTCTGATAATGGGATGTGAATACTTGACAGCATGTGTGCAGCACGACTGTTAAGCAACCTGCTGCCTGCTGAGCAGATCCATGACCAGTTTCCGGAGAGGAATTACTTTAAATATGTCTATTACTATATATATATATATATATATATGTATATATATGTATAATATATATATATACTTATATATATATATTTATATATATATTCAATATATATATATTTATATATGTATGTATATTAATCAAGGCTTTGTAAATGTTTTAAGGCATATGAAAAACAACCATAACTCCAAGAAAATATGTTAACTAACAAAACAGAAATTAAGATATAAACATACCATACTATTACGTCTTCCCCCTCACCACCACCCCCCCCCCCCAAACTTCACATATTTGTAAGGTGAACGTGTAGCCCTGATGGTCGCTCAGGAAAAGTGGGGAAATATGTTAACTAACAAAACAGAAATTAAGATATAAACCTACCATACTATTACCTCTTCCCCCCCACCCCCCCCCCCCCCCCCCAAACTTCACATATTTGTAAGGTGAACGTGTAGCCCTGATGGTCGCTCAGGAAAAGTGGGGTAAGTAAGTAGTTTAATCCTTTAAAGAACTATGATTTTATTCCACGAACTTAGTTCGGTAAGTAATTTATCAGTATCTCAGTTGAGAGCCACTGTGAGGTCCACATCACTACCCGCTTTTAGAGTCACTGTGAAGTATTGTATATATCACTACCTGCATTTAAAACCTATGTGAAGTGATGTATTACTACCTTATTTAGAGCCTCTGTAAAGTATTGTATATGCCCCTACCTGCTTTAAGAATCACAGTAAAATATTGTAAATCTTTCATGAACCGCGGCCCCCCCCCCCCCCCAACCATACTTGGCCACTGTTGTGATAAGGGCTGCAAGAACGCACTCCAATCAAAAAAATGACCTTTAAGCCAATGAAGTGAAGAAGCACCCAGGTCCTTGGCGTAATCTCGTTGCGTGGAACAGCACATCTCGTGCATCGGTCCGTCCGATAAGGACGTCACTGAGGTTCAAGCTCCATTTATTGGTTTGGTCTTCTTGTGACGCACACACGAGATCTGTTGTTGTTGTATTATTTTTTCCTTTTATTTATTGTTTTTTTTTTGTTTTTGTTTTTTTTTTTAAACGCAATTTGACTCCTTTACACCGCAGATTTAATGCACCATTCCAGAAAAAACAAAAGTATATATTACGAAGCAATCGCACTAGCGGCGTTTTAGAAAATAAAAAAAAAATAATAAAAAAATCTCATTTTTTAATGTTGCCGGTGCGCTCCATTTACAACAGCAGACTAACTCCCGAAGACATTTGAGGATGGGGATTTGCCGTTGAATGCGGCCCGAGGATGAGTGAGCATACTCCTCCCATCTATATCTATATATATATATATATATATATATATATATATCTAT